AAAGATCAAGATACATGTATCTTTCAACAGAACCTCCTCCTTCCAGAGATAAACTCTAGGGAAAAGCAAACACATGTGTGATGCAAGGAGATGTGCACAGGATGTTTATGGCAGCATTATGTATAATAGATAAAAACTTAAATGACTTAATGTCCCTCAACAGGAAAATGGATAAGCAAATTGTGTATATTCAAGTAATATTCTGTTTTATGGCAGTGAAAGTGAATAGGCTAGAGATACATGTGTACTGACTCAATTCTAAGAATATAAGKTTGCTGGATGTGGTGACACAGCCCTGTAATGCCTGCGGCCTTGGAAGCTGAGACAGGGGGATTGCAAATTCAAGATCAGTCTCAGCAATTTAGTGAGACTCTGTCTCAGAATAAGAAAGGGTAGGGTTGTAGCTTAGTGTTAGAGCACCCCTGGTTTCAATTCCAGGTACAATAAAACAAAGACAACAACAATAAAGGTCTCCAAAAATGACTAAGTTGCATAATGATAAAATTAGTGTGACAATATCATTTTTGGTAAAGTTTAAAAGCAAGCAAAATTATATGAATTATTTATGAGTGCATGTGTAGTAAAAATGTAAAARCATGGACAAAAACTGTGGACACAACTTCTGGACAGTGGCCATCTCTGAGGAGGGAAGAGAGAGGGGAATCTGATCTGGAAGAGTGCAAAAGGGGGTTTCTATTCAATTTGTAATATTTTCTTTTTAAAGTAAAAGTTGATGCAAATAGGAGGGAATGTTAATAGTTGTTAAATGTGGGTGATAGCTGTATTATGCTGTTTTTCCCCCCATGAATTCAAATATTTCATAATAGATGAACTGAGTATGCAAGGATGAAACTTCCAGAGAAGGGCTAAACCCCACTGTCAATTTGCAAGCATTTCTGAGAGCCAAAGAGTTGCATAACAGTGTCCGTGATGTTAGAGCATTTGCAGAGAAAGAGCAGAATTTCCAAATGGATGTCGGAAAGAGGAAGATGCCATTGGTAGAAACATCTAATGCATCATAACAAACATTTCTCAAGAGAAGTCAGAGATGGTACTGGTGATTTGATTGAATTTGGCAAAAATTTGAATTTGGTTGAATTTGCCAAAAACCTGAGGAAATATTTCCCCATGGCCATAGCTCTCTAAGACTTTAATTGGTGATAGCATTATCTTAGACTTTCTCTTGGCCAGAGTCATTTGGATACATATCTTTTCCTATTTGGCGTGATATTTATTTATTTAACAAATTGGTACTGATGGCTTCCTTGGCACCTGGGAATGCCTCCAGGATTTTCCTTTACCAAGAAACTGGGGCAGCTTTGAAAGCAGGATTTTGTCTTAGGAGGAGTTATTTGGGGTTATTGAGGTGGTTTTAAGGACACAATGTTTTACTGAAATGATGTCATGACTCATCAAGAGGGCTTGGAGTGTGGTGGGAAAGGAATAAGGTGAGCTTAAGGGTGTGTCTGAACTGACAAGGAAGACTAGGGGAGAACTCTTATATAGTGGACTCCTGAAGCTAGCCACACAGCTGCACGATTTCAGAAAAGCTGAGTCCATTGGTCCCAGGTAGGTATGCTTGTTCCCTCTCTGGGTCCCCCTGGGGACAGTAGGCTGTAAGGCTGAAGCTGCCAGAGGCCACTAGGATACACACTTCTTTTCTCAGCACAGTTCTGTTCTTCAAGGCTCTCAGGAGACTCTGTGGTCAGTGAACTCCACTGGTCACCACCAGGAGTGTCAGACTGGAAAGAGAAGGTCTTAAGGCCTGAACTTGAGTCCTTATTTCTTTTGTATCCAGAGACAAAAGGTCAAAACCACATTCTCCTCTGCAGTCGCAAGTCTCAGATACCACCATAGATACTTGTGAGCTGAGCTATCCCCACTCTCTGAGACGCTGGGCCGTTGTAGAATATCCTTCAGTTTGGGTTTATCTGATGTTTTCTTCATGATTGGCTTTGGGGAAAACACCACCGGGTATGACATACGTGGCGCTGATCATATGGTTAATGGTTGGGAAGTGTCTGTCATGTTTCTCTACTGTAAAATCTCTCTTTTCCCCTCTCCTATATTCTTTGGAAATGAGACTGCAAGTCCAGCTCACCTTCAAGGTGATTAAGATCCCCTTCTTATAATATCTGCCTATAATATTTGGAATTTTTCTGTAAAGAAAAATTTATTTATTGAGTTACTTAGTTATTTAAGCCATCATTTAGTTATTTATTTAATCTTTTTTTGTTTTTTGATAGTAGTGTGAACACACATATATTTATTTTATACTTTGAGTTAAAATAAATCAACAAATTGAGTTAAAATTCAATACCTTATTTTCTTGCTCAAATTCGTTGAGTTTGGGCTACTGGGATCTCCGAAAATTTGGCTCCTGTGTTCTTTTGCTATGCCTCCAGTCCTTTGGTTTTTAAATGTTTATTTATTTATTTAGCAATTGCTTGTTTCCTGCCACTAAAGATGCATTTTTCCTTTCCTAGCCCGAGGACCTGCTATTTCTCCAAGTAATAACTGGAAAAATCAACTTTTAAATATAAAAATAATGTATGCTTTTTTCATAGAAAATTTGGGAAATTAATACAAGGGAAAATTTAAACTTTAATTTAAACTATAGTTTAATTTTCAAGGGAAAAATTAAACTATAGTTTTGTGACCAAAAGAAAATCATTTTTAGAATCTGATRTATTTTTCTATTCTCTTGTTTTTATTTCCARATTCATGACTTCTGCTTTAATTTATATTTTCTTTCTTTTCACTTGAGTTTGTCAGCATTTATCTTTTATTAACTTCTTAAATTGAAATATTATTTTATTGTTTTAAATTATTTCCTTTCTGGAAAAAAATGTATTTAAGGCTGCATTTTCTTCTCTGGGAATTGCCTTGATCATGTCCCGTGGCATTTGTTCTTCTGCAAAGTCCCACCCCAGCTATATTAGTTTATTAATAATTTCTTTAAAGGCTCCATCTCCAGAGGCATTGGTGATTAGGGACATATGACTAGGGAGAGGACATGATTTAGACTCCAACACTCCTTGAGGTGAACAAGATTGAACTTGCTTTGAAAGCCAGAGATTTAGATAGAAAGTGCATGATTGTTTAAAGCTTTGATGTAGAACAGATGTGAACTTGTCTATTTTTAGAGACTTACGATTTTTTTTCCTCTAGGAAAGGTCAGGTTAGCTTTCTGTATTAATTCCCTACTTAACGGTGCCTAAACCACTCAAAAAGTGGAATAAGAATTAAATCAAGGTGAAAAATGGGCACTAAAGAAATGATTATCTCTTCTAGACATTAGGGCCCAGAAAGAAGTTTGTCTTCCTGAGCATGACTGTCATTTATTTACATAAAATTACTAATTTGTTAAAATCTCCAGGAGCCCTCTTTCATCCCTGGCCTCACTCTTTATTCCACCTTATCTAGGTCCCTTCTATGCTGGTCACCTCTCTATTTCCATTACAGGCCCAATCTCACTAGATTCTATGCCTGGATAGCTTCTCAGGCTGTAATAGTCCCAAGCACCATCCTACTTCTCCCAAAGGCCCTGTATCCCTCCTCCAGCCCTGGGCTGCCGCTCTCAGTCCTTATAAATGATATATCAGTTCTTTGGAACAGGCATTTGTGTCTCAAGAGCCAAGATTGTGCCTGCAAACTATTGCTGCTCAGAAGCAGCCCTCACCAGTAGCTGATGGGAGTTGGAAATATAACCCATGGAGGTGGCTAGTGGTTCTGGTTTGCATGGGGGTTCCCTGGAATGCAGATCTTTCAGTGCTAAACCTGTAATCCTGGGAAACTGGGATAATTGGCCACCCTGAGTCTCCAGTTCCCTTGGATTAACTCTGAAATTTGAAACACTTGCTCAGAATTTCTTAGTAGGATTGAGCTCCAGTTGCTCATAGAGATAACCTATTTGATTATGTGTCCTTGGTCATTTAAATTCTTTTCCATCCCACTCTCTTCATTCTCCTAGCGTAGCTTCCCAGGGCCACCTCCAAAACAACTACTTGCCTTGCAGTAAGTAAGGCAGCCAACCTTAGATAATTATTGCTCCTTGGTCTCCCATTAGGTGGTGAGGGGTTTGAGGTGAATGTTGTGGGCTGAGAGCTGTTTCAGGTATGAGGTGTCACTGATGTGGTTACAATGACACAAGGCCATGAGATCTTTGGGCAGGTAAGCATGGACAGTATGGACTGGAGGTCAGAAGGAAGCAGGGATAGATGATCTATGAAAGTTTTTGAACATAGGGAGTAACTGGGCTTTATTTAGAGTTGATTGAGAGTCATGTGTGGTGAGGGGAAGCAACTTGCCTGTCAGACATGCTGATCACTGGGTTCCATCTCCAGAACCACCAAAAAAAAATTTTTTTTTTTTAATATACAAGTTCAATGTTCCGATGTTAGATGTGTAGAGGAAGTACGGAGGTAACTCTGAGAAGAATATAAAGCCAGGAATGATGGTGCACAACTAAAATCTCAGCTATTCAGGAAGCTAAAGCAGGAGGATCTCAAGTTCAAGGCCAGGCTGGGCAGCTTAGTGAGACCCTGTCTCAAAATGAAAACTAAAAAGGACTGGGGCTATGGCTTAGGGATAGAGCACTTGCCCACCATGCATGAGGTTCAGAATCACAAAAAGAACAAAACAAAAACAAAAGAATATGGTGGTAGTCTTTATTTGGAGGTGTGGAGATGGGTTAGGCAAGTACCCCTTAGGCTTCTGCCATGAGCCACTGCCATGCTTGGCCCTGTCTGCCTCAGTGGGGTAGTTCACTATAGGTCAGGGGAGCCTGCCTGGGGAGTTGGCCACAGAAAGGACATGGATGGCTCGATAGCTTCCTGGTAAGTTTGGAGGATGGTGGGACACCTATCAGAGACTTCAGTGGAGTCTCCCTGGAGGATGCAGGACGACCCAGGTTCCTAATGCGTTCTGTAATGTCTTCCCAGGTTCTTCCCCTGGGAAGTTTTGTGTTCAGGAAGACGGCCAGATAACAACTTCCACCCATGTTCAGGGCGTTATCATGGACCTTCAGGGGTCTTCATTGCTCCTCCATCCCTCTATCAACAAGAATGTTCAGTGAAAGAGCAGATAAGAGCCGCTCCCTGGCTGATAAAGTGGCGGTGATCACYGGATCTACTAAAGGGTGGGTGAGTGGAAGTCCCTGACTGCCTCATGACCAGATGTCACTATAGTCCTGCCCACATCAGGGTCCCTACCTCATCACACAGCTCTGGTATTTAACTCCAAATCTCTCCCTAAATTATCTGGTTTCTGAGCTCCAAAAATGAGGTGGTCAGAAAGCCAGTTATTCTGAGTCAATCAGAGCAGCATGTGAAGCTAGTCTTTACCATTTACTGGCTGGGTAATCCCCAGATATTTAACTTATTGCCACCAGGACAGCCCTCTTGCCCACCTCCTTCATAGCCCCGTGGCCACGGTCTTTTGGCATCCTCATCTAATAGAGAGAAACCCAATTCCTATTGTGTTTCAGACTCAGGGGTTTCACTGACAGCAGAATGCCCACTGGCACTGGGGAATAGGCAGGGCAACGTCTCAAGAGCAGTGCCAAGAGTTTTCATGGACAAATCTTCATTTCTTCCTGTGTCCCTTCAGAGCCATCCTCTGAAGGGACAGAAGCCATGCTTTCATGTGCTCTGGCTGCCAGAATGAGCTGCAGTCTATAATGAGTCCTTACCACAGGTAGAAGGAGGGAAGGTTTCTGGATTTTGTGCTTTAGGGGCATCATCTTCCTTTTGACCTTTTGTGGTCTATAATAGCACCAATTTAGACCACTGTATTTTAGAATTGTTTAGTAATTATAGACTTCCCAGATCCCTGTGGTGTTTTAAACCTTTGTGTGTGTTCCCAATACTTAACCTCCATAATAGATGAATACTTTCAAAATTCCAAGCTACCTGGATGGTTTCTACAGGATAGTGGGAACATGCCTGTGCCCTTCCTTTATCTTAACCAGACCAATCAAGAGTGCTCAGCCCTCCTTAATGTAAGGAAACAGGCAGAGAGCATGCTCTTCAGCAGAAAAGCTTTTAAGTTGCAGAGCAGAGCAAAGCTGTTAGGCTTAGAGAAAGCACAATTTATGCCAGAACTCTCTGGTTAGAACAAAGGGAAAAAATGCTGGGCAGTTAAAAAGACTCTCGACAATTTAGGCCTGGTGCCCAGCAAGTTTACAACAGTTCTGATGGAACATTACTTTTTAAAGCTCCTTTAAGTGAATTTGATATGGAAATATCCTTATCTATAAAAATATAGATAAATATACAATATATTATTATTGTACATAAAGTTGTGAGAATTAAATGAGGGAGCTTTTGTGAAGACCTGATATGTAGTAGGCATTAAATAATTCCTTTTCCCTGCTCAGAGGACTTGGAGGCGGCTCTTAGACAACATCAGGAACTCAATCTGCATCTAAGTATCAGGTTTGAGAAAGCAGTTTGGGGAGAGGTGAGGTCATCTTATTCTCTATCTGCAGGATTGGCTTTGCCATTGCCAGGCATCTGGCCCAGAATGGGGCCCATGTGGTCATCTGTAGCCGGAAGCAGTGGAACGTGGACCAGGCAGTGACCACTCTTCAGAAGGAGGGACTGAGCGTGACAGGCACTGTGTGCCATGTGGGGAAGGCTGAAGACCGAGATAGACTGGTGGCTAAGGTGAGAGGCTGAGGAATGGATCAGATGGGGATATGCAGATCCAGCTCTGGCAAGAAGAGTCGGGGTCTCTAGCACTGGATTCTAGGCCAATAACATATGCAGCCCAGGACAGGGACCTGGTCAGAGAAAAAGCAAATGGACATCAGAAGTTTGCTGACAGGAGGGAACCTTCATGATTAGACTAGAGCCATGCCAATCTGATGACAAACAGCTGGGCATGACACAGCTTCTTGCTAGAGACTCAGGACCTCAGATCTTGCCAGAGCTGCTGAATTGGAATCTGCATTTTTACAAAATCTTCAAGTGAATCCAAGTTCATGTTGAAGTCTAAGCAGCACAGCTCTAGCACCTATGTGTACCGAGTTAGGAGTCTGCTAGACTACTCTAGGGTAGGAGATTTTCCTATGGGACTACCCTTAGAGGAGGCAAGTTGTGAACCTGATGGGGTGTAGAATGAGCATATGCTTTTGATATGTCAGATCGAAGGAAGAATCTTCCAGAGCAGAGGGAGCAAAGAGAAGGAGATAATTATAAATGGAAGAGATGAAAGTGGGGATACTTCATAAGTGAAGATCTGGGCCAGTGGGGCCCAGGGACCAACCAGGTGTCCTATGGGGGCAGAAAGCTGATGTTTCCAAAGAGGAGAGGCACAATCAGTTCAGTCCACCTCTGATTGCCAGGATCTGATTCTGCTCCTGGACAGCTCCAGGATGGCCAGACAGGGGTTAGATATTTCCTCTGGGTCATTATTACCATTTATCCATTCCTTCATCCACAGCTTATGTCATTTCTTCCATAGGCCCTAGAGCACCATAAGGGCATTGACTTCCTGGTGTGCGTGGCGGGAGTCAATCCCTTGGTGGGGAGCACTCTGGGAGCCAGTGAGCAAGTCTGGGACAAGGTGAGGATTGGGCGTAGGGTCTTACCCACCCTGCATGGCACTCCATCCATCATGTTTGCCACATGCATGTGCGCACACGGCTCCCATATACCACCATCAATACTGGCTCTAGTGGATGGGATTAGGGCTCACTGGAGCCATCAGTAGGCTCAACAGGCACTGACCATGTCCATCCTATACCAGACTCCAGAAACTTCCTCTATGTCGACTCTCTTTATGTTGGTCCCAGCTGTAAAGTCCTGAGATGCCCAGATTTTTGGGTCTGTTCGTGGCAGAGATCCTCTCCAGCTCAGGTGTCTGAAGCTACCACAATCTGGACTCTCAAACTGGCTGTCCCAAGAAACACAGTGCCCTGGCTACTTGCCATAGTTATGGAACTTCATTCCTGCTCTGACCATTGATCTCCTAGTGACCAAGGAGAATGGGCCCTGTGCAGATGGAATTGCTCTCTCCCCCTTGCCTTTCTCTATATTTTTTCTGATTTCAGATCCTGGGCGTGAATGTGAAGGCCCYGGCCCTGCTGCTGAGCCAGCTGCTGCCCCACATGGAGAACAGGGGGTGAGGGCATGAGAGGAATGGGTGGGGCATACATTGGTCTAGAAAGCACTTGGGGTAGGGGCCCATGAAGTAGAGGATTATGGGAGAGATGACAGGTGTGTCTTTTGGGAAACATTCTGTTTCCAGACCTACCTTCCTTCCCCGGGGATGTGACAGTTGTGTTGAAGAGAAGCATTGGCTGGGAGGAGTCAGAACTTGCCTTTCTGTTCCTTAAAGGATATTTCACGAACCCTTAGATTATTACATCACAGAAAATGGCAGGAATTTTTCCCCTTGAGTGGTAGTTGCAGGAACAAAGTTTCCAGAGAGAAGCAGCCTGGGGTCCCCTGTTCTGATTCCCTAACTCTTACCCTCCTCTCTGGGCCACCTCACCTGTTTCCCTTCTGGTCAGAGGCACTGTGGGTTTGCTCTTTCTCACCTTCCCCTGCAGAACCTGGCTCTTCTGTGTCCTGTGGCCACCAAGGGGCAAGCCAGGCTGGGACTCATGAGTGACACCCTGACCCCACAGGGGTCTCTACTGACACATGAACATTACTGGGATTCTGCTTTCTAGGAGTGCTGCCTCTCACTAGGCAGGGCCCCAAGGGACACCACTCTGGCTGTGCTTATTGGTGGTACTGACCTTTAACTTAAAGGTCCAGCTTCTCCCCAGTGTTCCAAATTGTTCCCCAACACTTATGCTTTTCACCATGAATGCTGAGCTAGTTTTCTTTTAGTGTGGGAGTATAATTCCCTGGCTCATATAATCTCTTAGTTGACCTCATCTGTCATCTTATCCCATTTCCTTTTCTCCTCATAGGGGAGGCTCTGTGGTTCTGGTCTCATCGGTGGCAGCTTATATGCCAGTATCAGTGAGTATGAGATCCTCAGGTGGAGCTGGGGGGGGGCATCTGAGTTGGTTTCTTGTGAGACCCTGCAGTGGGGTGAGGGGGAACTGGCTGTTGATACCAGATAAAGTGAGCTTGAGATGTGTAGCAGTGGCATAACACCCTGAATGCTACAGCCCGGGTATTCTACTTTCATTCTGTCATGTTATCTCTGAAACCCAGGGTGTTAGGCCATTTATTCAGGGTAAGCATAGTTAGTTTGCATTACTGCAAGGACTGGACCCTGGATCTCCTAATTCCAGTTTCCTAAGTGGAAGTTCTAAAGTGTAGTGCAGCTTTCTCTTTGTCAAGTTTGGCCACACATGGCAGGCAGCAATCTGCTGACATTTCCTTAAGTATGAGGAGCCCCTTCATCTCAGAATTTCACTCCTTGAAAATCCCTGTGAAGACATGAGGGGTGGGGGAGGAATTTTTGTTGGGGCCTAGAGTTAGGCATATCTTCTTAGTCTGTGACTCAGGGTCACAGTTTTGTTTGAATAATACCCCTTCTTCCCATGCAGAACTACTAGTTTTCTTTCTTTTGCTTTACAGAAGCTGGGAGTCTATAACACCAGCAAGACGGCCCTGTTGGGCCTCTGTAAGTCTCTGGCCATGGAGCTGGCTCCAAAAGGCATCCGAGTGAACAGCATAGTACCAGGACTGATCAAGACTGACTTTATCCAAATGGTGACTATGACAAGTGGCTCCTGCTCCCAGTCCCCACAACCACAGTCTCAGTGGTCCTTTCCCTGGCTGGGCTCCTGTCGGAATTGAGGCCTCCAGAGACCACACACCTACTAGAGCCTCAGTCCAGGCTCATCACTGAGAGGCTATGCCCTCTGGCTTCAGAACCAGCAGCCCCCCCTTTCTTGCAGAAGAATGGGGGTCTTAATCCTCTGTGAGGAGCAGACCGGAGCCCTACCTCACTGCCAGAACAGGATCTTCCCCCAGAGAGGCATTAGCGGGCCATGATGCTCTTCCCATCCCCCCACCCCCAAATCCACCCCCACCCCTACCAATATCCCTCTGCCTAATGCTGACTCTGAAATCTTTCCCTAGGAGAAAACATTGCCGTACACGCTATCTGATTTGAACAAAATCTATGGCTTGCAGCGKTAGGTGGGGTTTGGGGCTTTAGAGGTCAGTGTCTACCTCACGGGAAATTCAATTTCAAGAAGAGACAGATCCTTGATCTTCTTTCAGTCTACTGGCTGTTCTCCTTTCTAGGGGGACACAGCACAGTCCTGGGTTGGGGGCAGAAGGGTGGATGTGAGCTCACTATGACCATCCGTGGAGCCTGGTGAGGTATTGGCTTATAGGGGTGAATGCTAGGCCACCTCTGGCCCAGCAAAACCTGAGGTCCCAGTTCAATACTGCAAAGGCTGTGACTCAGCTCTTCTCTGTTTTATTCAGGCTTGGGGAGCCAGAGGACTGTGCGGGGATTGTATCCTTCCTGTGCTCTTCAGACGCCAGCTATATCACTGGGGAGAACATCACAGTGGCTGGCTACTCTCCTAAGCTGTGAAGAGAGTGTGACGCTAAGAAAGTGGGGCTGTGGTCCTCAGTGGAAAATGAGGGGCTTGGCAGGGAATAGGGAGGTGGGGAGCCTTAGAGTCTGTAGCATCCAGGGTCAGATAGGGAAACTTGCTCAGGAAACTAGAAGGCAGGTGTTGAAACTTTTCGGGTGAAAATAAACATTTTGAAACATCTAATCTGAGCTCACTCCTGTTTTGGCTAGTGATACATGAGCAGTCCCCTTGATTTAGAAGCCACTCCTTGATCAGTCTCTTCCCTTTTCTCTGTCCCTCATCCCTAAGAATTTTTACCCTTCCCTCCCTCCCTTCATTCCTTTCCCATGGTGTTGGAAATTGGGCTGTACACTTCCCATCTTTCCCTCCAGATCCACTTGTCTATGCTTGTCTACTCAGTGCCTTAGGAGGACCCGTGGCCTGCACGGATGGTCCCTAGACCTCTGGCCTGCAGCTGGGTTTGGTCAATGGGAGGCACTAACAGGAGATTGGAGGGCAGAGGAGAGTCAGATAATTTGTTTCTCAGCCTCCCTTCTGATTGCCATATATGGGCTCTTCTGTCTGCAGCTTTCTGCAGGTAGATTTCCATAACCATGCCTACCTGTCCTTCAGGCCTGCCGTTGGCCCTGAGGTGCTGCTTTATACCTTATTGGATGTGCTAAATTCTGTCTACTCATTCGTAATTGCTTTTTGTTTAAATCACATTTAAAACCTTTTTAACTGAAACATAATATTTGTACAAATATGTGGAGTACAGTGTGATGTTTTGATATATGTATACATTGTGTGAGGATCAAATCAGAGTAATTGGCATATCTATCATCTCTTTGTGGTTAATCATCCAAAATTCTCTCTTCTAGCTATTTTGGAATGTACAACACATTAGTAGTGACTACTATCACCCTACTGTACATTAGAACACCAGAATTTACTCCTTTTTTTTTTTTCTTGAACCCAGGGCTTTGTGCATGCTAGACAAGTAGTCTACCATTGAGCTATCCCACTCCCACTCCCAAGCTCTTTTTAATTTTTATTTTGAGACAGGGTCTTGCTAAGTTACCCAGGCTGCCCCCCCAACTTGTGATCCTCTTGACTCAGCCTCCTGAGTAGCTGAGGTTACAGGTGTATGCCACCATTCCTGGTACAGAATTTATTCTCTTTATTTAACTCTGATTTTGTACCCATTGACGGACCAATCCACATCTCCCCTTCACTTGTCTCCTAGCCTCTGGTAACCATTATTCTACTCTCTACTTCTTTGAGATTGAATTTTTTAGATTCCCCATGTGAGTGAAATCATATGGTAGTTTTCCCTCTGTGCCTGGCTTATTTCACTTAGTGTAATATCCTCTAGTTCCATTCATGGTGTTGCAAATGACAGGATTTTATCTTTTATGGCCAAGTAGCTAGCTATATATATATATATATATATATATATATATATATATATCTCACATTTTGTGTATCCATTCATCCACTGATGGACACTTGGGTTGATTCACATATCTTAGTTGTTGTGAGTAACTCCACAATAAGCATGGGAGTACAGATATATCTCTTCAACACACTGATTTCTTTCATTTGTGTGTACATCAGTTGTGGAATTATTGGATCATGTGGTAGGTAGTTCTAATTTTTTCTTTTTTTAAATTTTATGTTTTATTTTTTTATTTATATATGACAGCAGAATGCATTACAATTCTTATTATACATATAGAGCACAATTTTTCATATCTCTGGTTGTATACAAAGTATATTCACACCAATTCTTATCTTCATAAGAATTGGATAATAATGATCATCACGTTCCACTATCATTTCTAACCCCATGCCCGCTCCCCTTCCCCTCCAACCCCTCTGCCCTATCTAGAGTTCCTCTATTCCTCCCATGCTCCCTCTCCCTATCCCATCATAAATCAGCCTTCTTATATAAAAGAAAATATTTGGCATTTGGTTATTTGGGATTGGCTAACTTCACTTAGCATTATCTTCTCTAACTCCATCCATTTCTGCAAATGATTTTATTCTCTTTTATTGCTGAGTAATATTTCATTGTGTATATATGCTACATTTTTTATCCATTCATCTATTGAAGGGCATGTAGGTTGATTCCACAGTTTAGCTACTGTGAATTGTGTTGCTGTAAACATTGATGTGGCTGTGTCCCTGTAGTATGCTGTTTTTGAGTCCTTTGGGTATAGACCAAGGAGAGGGATAGCTGGGTCAAATGGTGGTCCATTCCCAATTTTCCAAGAAATCTCCATATTGCTTTCCATATATTGGCTGCACCAGTTTGCAGTCCCACCAGCAGTGTATGAGCGTACCTTTCTCCCCACGTCCTCGTCAACACTTATTGTTGTTTGTCTTTATAATAGCTGCCATTCTGACTAGAGTGAGATGAAATCTTAGAATGGTTTTGATTTGCATTTCTCCARTTGCTAGTGATGATGAACATTTTTTCATATATATTATCTTCTGAGAAGTGTCTAAAACAGACTGGTAGACCAACGGTACAGAATAGAGGACACAGAGACCTACTCACATAATTACAGTTATTTTATACTTGACAAAGGCACCAAAAACATACATTGGAGAAAGATAGCCTCTTCAACAAAGGATGCTGGAAAAACTGGAAATCCATATGCAACAAAAGGAAATTAAACCCCTATCTCTCAAAACTCAACTCAAAATGGATCAAGGACTTAGATGCAGAGACCCTGCATCTAATAGAAGAAAAAGTAGGCCCTAATCTCCACCATGTGGGATTAGGCCCCAACTTCCTTAATAAGACTCCTTTGGCTCAAGAATTAAAATCAAGAATTAATAAATGGGATGGACTCAAACTAAAAAGTTTCTTCTCAGCAAAAGAAATAGTCAGTGAGGTGAATAGAGAGCCTACATCTTGGGAGCAAATTTTTACTCCTCACACATCAGATAGAGAATTAATCTCTAGGGTATATAAAGAACTCAAAAAACTAAACACCAAAAAAAAAAAACACAAACCAATCAATAAAAGTTCTATTCTAATTTTGTGGAGAACTTCGAGACTGTTTTCTATAATAGCTGTCCTTATATACATTCCCATCAATAATGTGTAAGTGTTCTCTTTTTCCACATCTTTGACAGCACTCATTACCTTTTGTCTTTTTAGTGCAGCCATTCTAACTAGAGTGATATATTATTTTTTAGAGAGAGAGAGGAGAGAGGGAATTTTAATATTTATTTTTCAGTTTTTGGCGGACACAACATTGTTGTTTATATGTGGTGCTGAGGATCGAACCTGGGCCGCACACATGCCAGGCGAGGGCGCTACCACTTGAGCCACATCCCCAGCCCCTAGAGTGATATTTTACTGAGGTTTTTATTTGCAATTTCTTGATGACTAGCAATGTTGAGCATATTTCATATACCTTTTGGCCACTTGTATGTCTTCTTTGTGAAATGTCTATGTAGGTTATTTGTTTATTTTATTTTATTTTTTACTTCATTTTTGGTACCAGGGATTTAATTCAAAGGCCTCTGAGCCACATCCCCAGACCTTTCTATTTTTGATTTGAGACAGGGTCTTGCTAAGTTGCTTAGGGCCTCACTAAGTTGCTGAGGCTGGCCATGAACTTGCAATCCTGCTTGGCTGGGATTACAGGTATGTACCACTGTGCTTAGCTCATTCGCTTATTTTGAAGCCAGATTTTCTTTTGCTCTGAAGTTGTTTCAGTTCCTTATATAGTCTGCACATGTACATCTTCTTCTATTATCAGAATCCCCTGCTGGGAGTAGTGCATTTCTTAGAATTGATGAACTTGCACTGACACATCATAATTGTCTAAAGTCCAGAGTTTGCATTTGATTTTATTCTGTGAATTTGAACAAATGTATAATGACAGGTATCCAYTTTCATGGTATCATAAAGAATAATTTCATTGCCCTAAAAATCCTCTGCAATCCTCCTATTCATGTCTCCCTCTCCACTAACTCTTGGCAACCACTAGTTATTTTGCTGTCCTCATAGTTTTGCCTTTTTCTAGAGTGCCATCTTTTTAGAATCATATAATATGTAGCTTTTTTGGACTGTTTCTTTCACCTAGGAATATATGTTTGAGATTTCTCCATGTCTTTTCTGTGACTTAAATAGCTCATGTATTTTTATCACTGAATAATATTCCATTGTGTGTATATACCACAATTTACTTATCCATTCACCTGTGCTAGTTTATCTTTGCTGCTTCCAAGTCTTGGAAACTATGAATAAAATTGCTATAAGCATTCGTTTGCAGTTTTTGTATGGACATTTTTTAAAACTCATTTGGATACATACACAGGCATATGTCAATCTAGGTGGCTATCACAAAATACCATAGCCTGGGTGACTTAAACAACAGACATTTATTGTTCACAATTCTGGAGTCTGGGAAGTTCAACACCAGGGAGTCATCAACATGTCAGGTTCCTGGTGAGGGTCAGGAGGTCCCAGGAGGAAATTGACACTTCCTGCCTTGCAGATGGTTGCCTTCTTGCTCTGTTCACACATGGTGAAGAGAGAAATCGAGATCTTTTGGTCTCTCTACTTGGGTGGCTGATTAGGTCCCTGGTTCTGTAGTATGGCCATACCCTTGGTGTTCTCTGCACCATGGATAGGCTGGGGATTTTCCAAATCTGGGTCAAGATTACTACAGATTAGATAGTCCCCAATGAGGGACTACCTCTTCTTGTAAGGACACTGATCTCATCCTGGGGTTTCCACATTTATGACCTCATCTTGATCTTATTATGTCCAAATTCCCACCTCTAATTTTCATCACATTTGGGGTTAGGGACTCAATATACAACTTTTGGAAGGGACACACAAACATTCAATCCATAGTAGAGCAGCGTGATAACTGGATCATATGGTAAAAGAATGTTTAGTTTTGTAAGAAACTGCCAAAATGTCTTCCAAAGTAAATACCATTTTGCATTCACACCAGCAAGGACTGTGAATTCCTGTTGCTCCACATCCTTGACAGTAGTTAATGTTGTCAGTGTTTTGGATTATGGCCATTCTAATAGGCATTAGTGGCATCTTGTTATTGTTTTAATTTGCAATTTCCGAATGTCATATAATGTTGAGCATTTTTATACACTTATTTCTCATCTTTATTGTATACGATATTTTAAAAAGTATATATTCAGATGCTTTGCTCATTTTTTAATTGGATTGTTTATTTCTTATTATTGAGTTTTAAGGGTTCTCATAGACTTTGCRTACAAGTCCTTTATCAGGTATATATACTGTAAATATTCCCCCCCCCCATTGTTTGTCTTTGTATTCTTCTAAGTACTTTCTTCCTTTTTCTTTTTTTTTTTTTTTTTGGTACCAGGAATTGAACTCAGAGGCACTTGACCACTGAGTCACATCCCCAGCTCTATTGTGTATTTTATTTAGAGACAGGGTTTCATTGAGTTGCTTAACACATCACTGTTGCTGAGTCTGGCTTTGAACTTGCAATCCTCCTTGCCTCAGCRTCTCAGGGATTACAGACATGTGCCACTAGTGCCCGGATAGTACTTTCATATTTCAAGAAATGTTTTGCTTGTTGTAGAATTCAAGATTTAGCCATTCCCACCCCCTACCCCACCCCCGCCCCAATACTTTAAGAGAGGTGATGTGATTTCCTTCTGGCTTGTGTAACTTGAGAAATCTGGATAGTTCTTATCTTTGTCAGTAATGTGTCTTCCTCACTTTCACCTTCCCATCTCTATGCCTGATTTTAAGATGTAATTTTCTGTGTCACTGATTTTTAACAATTTGATTTTGATGTGCCTTGAGTTTCCCGCATCTGTTTATTCTTCTTGAGGTTGATTTTCTCAGGTTGTACGAGTTTTATAGTTTCTTCGAATTTAAAAAATTTCAACCTTTACCAATTAAGTTATTTCTTCATTCTTTGCTTTCTTCCTCTCTCCTGGAACTCCAACTATAAGTATGGTACACCACTTCATATGATATCACAGGTTGCTGAAGTTCTGTAATTTCCCTCAGCTTTTTTCTCTTTTTTTTGTTTCATTTTGAGTTTATTGTTTTGCTGTCTCTTAAAATTCTCTGATCTTAGGCAGTGTCTAATTTCTGTTGATGTTTTCATTTAAGTGACTATATTTTTCACCTGTCAAAATTCCAGGCTGTATCTAACTTCTAGGAAGGCTGAGAAATATATACTATTCATATGCCCAGGAAGAAAGTAAAAATAAGTTTTAGTGAAGTTGCCAATCTCTGCCACAATAGTTCATCCTCGATTCCCTCACCTCTCTAGCCTTACATACTCCAGTTGCTGCTTCCTTCTGATTTTATCTCCTACCACATTTCCCTCATTTACCAAGTTCCACTCACAAGGGCCTCTTTTTTTTTTTTTTTTTAACAAGAAGTTTATTTAAACAACAAGACGCTTGACTTGAAGGGAAAACTATCTAGGAATTTTTTTTAAGAGTAATTTACCTCTACTTAAAGACAGATTGCCCTACATGTAACAGCTACATACAAAAAAGTTATAAAATTGTCCTTGGTTTTACAATGATAAATGAAAAACATTAAAATTCTCCAATCGAACAAGGTATGCAAGGATTTTTATGTTGTTCAGGTTTTTTGTTGTTGTTGTTTTGCTTTTTTGTTAAAACAGTGAGAGCAAAATAACTTACTGGAATATAAAGAGTTGAATGAGGATGCCACTAATGGAGAAAGGGGATATTTTCACAGAACCAGTATTTTTCCCCATCCCATCTCCATTTGATGTTAATCAAAACATATTATTGGCCATTTAGTTTTAAAAAAATGCAATATGCTTGTGCACATACACCAATTACTTTATGTACAATAAAGGAATGGGGAAGGGAAAATGAACAAATAAAGAAAACTATACTGTAGTAGTTAGGATGTGGTGGAACCAAATTGCAGTTTTCTAATTGAGAATGTATTCTTGGTCTGTAAGAACAGAGTTTTGGAGTAAAGTACCAGGTTCCCTTTTTAGTAGACACCTCCTGTCTGCTGCTGAAACACATCAATTGTATCTTCATCCTCCATTTCCAACTGTGCAGGTGTGTCTGTTTCATTAACTGGCTGCCCGTCAAATCGGAATCTGATCTGCCTCATGGACAAACCCTGTCGTTCACAGTATGCTTTCATTAGTTTACTAAGAGGGCCTCTTAATCTTAAACTGCACCACAGAACCATCCTGCCCCGCCACCTTCAAGTTAATATGATCTTTGTTTTCAGTCTTGACTCCTTCCTTGGGCTTTTCTTCTGCCATGGCGAGCACCGGAGTCTCCTCAGCTGCCGCTTCACAAAAGAGGTACCAGGTCCGCACCGACAAGCACACAAGCAGCTCACAAGGCCCTCTTACAGAATCTTTTCACATGCGTTTTCTCTTTGCCTGGAACACATTCCATAGCATATAACCTGCCACCCCTTATCTAGTTCTCAGAATTATAGCTCTTTGGAAACATCTCTCTTGACCACCTTATGTAAATGTTCCTCCCATCTCAGTAACTTTCAAAGTCCTTTTTATTTTATTTTGAGACAGGGTCTCACTAAGGTGCCCAGACTGGCTTTGAACTTGTGATCTTCTTGTCTCAGCCACTCAAGTAGCTAGGATTATAGGCATGTGACACTATACCTGATGTGTTCATTTTAATTTTAAATCAAATCCCCTCAAATGTAGGTTCCATAGGACCATGCACCTCATCAGTCTTATTCATGGATATTCACACAAAAGGTTATATATATATATATTTTAAACAAATGAACTGCCATCTCTTTCTGGCTCAGTGATTCTCCTGCTTACATTCTCAGACTGAGGAAATCCCATGCAAAGCTCACAAATCTAACAGATTTTAGCTAATATCACACATAAATTATTTTTAGCTGGGTGCTAGAGGATATTTTTATTTTTCTGATGTACTTGCCCCCAAACTTCATTCATTCATACATTTGTCCATTCATTCATTCACACATATTTGGCACTCCTCTTACATGTCTGGTATTTGGCAGAATTGAGAATAGGATTGGAGAAAATCACTAAAAACTTATAGCTTCCAATATAATACTCACTTTTAATATTACAATGGTAATCTTTGTACATTATTCTGCTAAAATCATCTCCCTTTTCCCTCAGCACATATTTAAACCTTCACCAACTAAACTAGTTTGCTAAAGTTACCATAACAATGTGCATTAGACTGGGTGGCTTAAATAACATAAATTTATTTTCTCAGTTCTGGCAGATGCATGTTCATGATTAAGGTTTTGTCAGGGTTTATTTATTCTGAAGACTCTCTCCTTGGCTTATAAATGACCATTTTATCCCCTTATCTTCACATAGTCTTCCCTCCATGTGTGTCTGTGTCCTAATCTCCTCTTCTCTTAAGAACCTCAGTCATGCCGAGTACAGTGGTGCATACCTGTAACCCCAGCTGCTCAGGAAGCTGAGGCAGGAGGATCTTGAGTTGAAAGCCAGCTTTAACAACTTAGTGAGGCCCTAAACAACTCATAAGACCCTGTCTCAAAATAAAACATAAAAAGGGCTAGGGATGTGGCTCAGTGGTTAAGCACCCCTGGATTCCCTGCCACCAAATCAAACAAACAAGTAAACCACCTCAATCATACAGAGGTAGTAGGGGTTAGGACTTACATGTATGAATGATGGTGGGGTGGAAGTGGAAGATACAATTGACTAATAACACCTCTCTTCTCAAGCTTGCACGTTTACTACCATAACTTCTGTTTTCATAGTGGGGGCAAAAATAATCATTTATAATCTTACATTGCCTATGAATCTGACTGTGAGGAATTTTACTCTTTCCTCATTCCCTCTCGTCAGTTCAAACTGTTGCTATACTTTCAATATTTGTGTCCCTCCAAAATTCATTTTGAACCTTAGTCCCTAATGCAACAGTATTAGAAGGTGGGGGCCTTTAGACATGATTAGAACATATTATGATTTGAATATGAGGTGTCCTCCCAAAGCTCCTGTATTAATGCAGGAATGTTTGGAGGCGAAATGATCGATGCCTCTCGTGGAAAAATTAATCCAGAGCAATTAATCTACCACACGTGGTCCCATATATCTCACAGAGCTTGTACAGCCATGCCAACAGCCCAAGATCATTTTCATGCTATTTTTTGTTTGTTTTGTTTGTTTAGGCTACAGTAATTAGGTGCTATCTTGGAAGCTGAGAGAGCTTTTACTATTTTTCCCATTTGCCAGAAACCCAATCTTGGATTTCTCAGACACAAGAACCATGAGAGAATAATTTCTGTTGCTTATAAATTGCCCAGACTAAGGTATTTTGTGTACTAGCAAGAATGAACTGAGACAGATGTTCTTCCACTTCCCTGTCCATCTCACCACAATCCTTGGAGGTTCCTAGCTAGGCATCCCTTCTCACCTCCTTGGGGTTGTTGATCTATCAGCTATTATCTTTCTTGTCTGTTCCTTTGATGCCTCTAGTGGCAAAATTAATCTACCACATGTGGTCCCATATATCTCAGGGAGCTTGTACAGCCATGCCAACAGCCCAAGATAATTTTCATGCTTTTTTTTTGTTGTTGTTGTTTAGGCCTCTGCTGTTCACTGTGGGATCCTTGCCTAGAGCAGATGTTTCGTGCAATTATTTTCCTGCTATCGACTGGGAGAACAGGGATGCTCACTAATGGATTCTTCATCTTAGTGCCTATATTCCTTTGCTCCCTTTGATCAAGGGGGTAGCGCTGCAAGCATTAGCTCACTCCTGGTTTAGGAATCTTTTGGCAGAGTCATTTCCCTTTCTGAGTCAATAGGAAAAATGTATGGGCTCCTGTCATGAGTTAGCTCAGAATTTATTGAATAACAATAAACTCACAAGCTACATCAACTTCATCAGCTTTAATTCATTCAATTCTCATGGTTCACTTGGTAGCCATGAGCAGGGCAATCTCAAGTTCTTTTATTCTATCCCAAAGTTAATTAGTAATACTTTTAACATTCAAGTCATATATCACACTTTCCACAATGATGTATAGGTAACAGAATGGCTAAGAAAGGGTTAACAGTGGCCACAGGTTTAATTAGAGTCAGAACTGAAAGCAAAGGGAGAGAGCTGATAGGGGTGTAAAAAAGTCACAGCAGGAAGTCAGATGAGGTTCTAACTCAAGAAGGAACTTGTTGCAGGGAAATTATTTAGGACACAGAGCTTTTCAGGGAAGGTGCAGTTTCTCCAAGAGACTGAGCTGAGCTGAAGCCCCAGGGAGAGTCTGGAGCTTGTCACCTGTCATCTCAGGAGGCATACAGCAAGTGGTCTGATAAGACAGGTCAGCGTGTGCCACCATACCACCACTATCTTAGGTGCATCTTCCTTTATGAATTTCAAGTGAGGGAGTTACAGCATTCATTGGTCTAGTGTGTCAAATAAGCTCATGGGCCTGGTTTTCCTGATAGGGGTTTGATATGCCTCTAGTCCATGGGCCTGTGACTTAACTGATAAGTTCACAGGTGATAACTTTTCATTATCATGATTAATCCATTTATCAGTTGTGCCTTATGATTCCACTGAGCAACTGGGGATTCTTCTTTTTGATAAGTCCTTCCTGTATGTTCAACATCCAGTGGTTATCTGTTTGCCCAGACAATATACCCAGTCATACTGCCGTAGCACTTGCACTCAAAATGGAGTGGTGGGGGGAGACCACTTTCTTTTTATTTTTTCTTTTTGTGGTATAATAGACTTATGGTTCATTAAATAATGCAATGAAATACATGGAAAAGTAGTACGAAAATTATTTAGCAATGCTTATTTTATCAATAATATTTTTCCATTATATAAAACCTGAATTATATTTATGTAGACTTACAAAAGTTCTAAATCTATCTTCCACAAGATAAAAAGCCTTGTTTGGTCCCCAGGGTTGAGGATTCAAGCTTTTATCATGAATATAAACTCAAAAAATAATGCTATATATTTAATAATGTTGTTTTGAAACAATGTGCAAATTAGATTGGTTTCACTTTCCATCTATTTTCTGCTGAGTGTAATTAAGAGCTATCATTGTGCCTACTTTTTTTTATTATTAGTTGTTCAAAACATTACATAGTTCTTGACATATCATATTTCATACATTTGATTCAAGTGGGTTATGAACTCCCATTTTTACCCCATATACAGATTGCAGAATCACATCGGTTAYACATCCACKTTTTTACATAYTGCCATACTAGTGTCTGTTGTATTCTGCTGCCTTTCCTATCCTCTACTATCCCCCCTCCCCTCCCCTCCTCTCCCCTCCCATCTTCTCTCTCTACCCCATCTACTATCTACTATCTACTGTAGTTCATTTCTCTCCCTTGTTTTTTTTTTTTTTCCCTTTCCCCTCACAGACAATTTTCTTATCAAATGGATAGCTCAGGGCTGGGCACAGCCTGAAAGCTGTTGTGCTAATACAACCCAGAGGAACTCAGAGCAGAGCACAGCCTGCTCCCTGCAGCTCCCAGAACCCTTTCTGACGATCTCTTCTTCGTGATTCCCTTATATCCAGAGAATCAGTGTCCTCCTCCTCTATTACAAAATTGCTTTTACTCTATGTCAGAAAAATTATTGGAAATGTGGAAATAGGTAGAAGAGACAACAGGGCATTTCAGTGCAGTTTTGCATTGGATTTTCTCTTGTCTCTGGCTAGAGGTCAATGTGCTGTTTTTGATTGTTAGAGATACAAGTAATTTCTGTCCAATAGAACAGTTGATCCCAAAGGTCAGGGTTTATTTTCTTGTTGGACATTAATAAGTTTTGTGTCTAACACAGCAACCTTACTCTAATATTCCCTATAAATGCCTACCTTCTCAAATGCTCTTTGAATTGATTGCAACATTTTATTTGTTCCCCTGTTAATCAATGAATCAAATAAAAGTTTGACGCCTATTTATTTTATATTTGTATGAGAGATATGATATTATTTTTTTGAAAACTATAATGCTTTTGGGTTCGTGTGACAAAAGAGAGGATATTAGATTTTGCAGAACCAATTTTATTAATTATTCTGCAGAACTTCCCCTTCTCTATTGTTTGTTTACTCTTTACACAAAAGGATGTTTGTTTTTCTTTTTTATACAGAGAAAACTCTCCAGCAATCCTTTATCATTCTGTAGCCACCATATAATCAGTACTGTGCTTCCTCAACAAAGTAGTTTAAAAAGTTGTCTCAGACCAACTATCTGAGGCTGTACATGAAAAATACTGTGAATATGTCAAGTTGATGTAAGAAGGGTGTGGAAAGTTTTGT